GCAGTAGCAGTAGCAGTGGCAGCAGCTGCTGGTAGTAGTAGCAGTCATAAAAGCAGTGGTAGTAGTAGTAGTAGTAGTAGTAGTAGTAGTAGTTTGTAGTAGTGTGGCCACCTGTGTGTTCATAGTCCATACATTAATCATCCCATCAATGTACCCCTCAAACCCCTACTAAAATTATGAAGGTCTCCGCATTGGTAAATTAGGTCGTGGAGATCCAGGCCACGGGGTACAAGTTGCAAACGCTTCTTGCTAAGTCTACGAAACCTTCAAAAAGCAGAATTCGAACCCTCAAACCTTCCGAAAGCCTTTCAAGGCCTGACCAGCCTGAAGCCTGACTATGAAACACATATGAAACCTTTGATCATGAAAACCTGTAAACCTGACTAACGCTAAACCCTATTTAGAAAAAAAGCGGTGAAGCCCTGCCAAACTGGCCTTCTCTAGCGAACTCGATGCGGACATTTGGATCCAGGCGTCCGACTCGGGCGACAGCCTTGCTCTTGCTGGAACGGTCTATGGCTTTTTCGGTCTTAGGTTTAGGGTTAGGAGTGAGAGAGGTTCGGGTTAGGATTTAGAGTTTAACGTTTGAGGTTTAGACGAGGGGCCAAAGGGTCAAGGGGTTTAAGATGAAGGGTTGTATAAAGGTTAGATTTTAGTGCGATTTGTTTTGAGGATGCACCAACCAAGCAACTGCGTTGGAGAGCACAGGTGGTTAGTTTCATGAGCAGCCCACCAATATAGGGCCTGAATGATTGGAAGAGGTTCTGGGATATACTATAGTACAAGCACACTACAGAGCACTAACTAAGGAAGACTATTTCAACCAAGCAGCTGGGTCACTGGAGCGCTTTAACGAGTGCATCGGTGCCACGGCTGTGGGGGCAGGGAAGATGGAGAAGTGCTTCCGCACATGCCATACCACCTTCTGCGCACGTCGATACAGGAAATAGCGAAACGGCAGGCCCATCAGCAGAAGGGTAAAGACGACGAGCCATGCAGTGCGCATCCACCTTCGTGTTGGGCTTGACAGCGCGGTTTAATTTCTGAAACTCCCATGACTGCACGGGACCTTGTGAACACAACACATAACTGTGCCTTCGATTCCTCTTAGATAAACTTGCCGGATTGCGTATCTAGCCAAGTTTGCTTACAAAATGTTATCAGCAAGGCAACTACAAGCTACTACGCAGAACCCATATAATTATCAAGGCACTTCTAACCTCAACCCAAACCCCAAAACCCTCAACCCCAAGACTAATGAACTCTGAACCCCTAAACCCTGAACCCCAAACCGCTAAGCCCTAAACCCTAAACTCCTACACCCAAGCCCGGAAACCTCACCGACCGACTCCCGCGATCATCCAGTAAAGGGAGCTTTGAAAAGCCGGACGGAGCTTCGCTCTGCGCCCTAAACTGCTTGGGTTTAGGGTTTATAGGGTTTATAGAGATGTAGGGTTTAGGGTTTAGGGCAGCGGGCCTCATGCTGGCCATCGAGACTGTCACCGTGTTCAGGCTTTAGATAGGTTGGCTACACGGTTTTCGGGCTTAGGTTTAACTGCTGCAGTTTCTAAATTGCATTATGTCGCATATCACTGCATGAGAGGAGCATACGACACGGTGGTCGAAAGCCAGATGCTACTATAGCAGCAAAACCATGTGTTGGAATGCTCGTGCACAATGCATGCACTAGTGTGGAGGTTGTGTACACAAACACTGCGCACGTATGGCTGTAACGTGCATGCAGAGTGATATACAGACACCTGCAGGAGCCTTGGTGAATATGTCACGGCATGTTATAAATATTGTGTCTACAACTGTACATGGACAGAGCTGTGCTTGGACTGCTTGGATATCTGCATAGATGTACGTACATTGCATCGGCTGTAAAAGCCCTTAGCCTCTTCTTATCGGCAACCCTCTCTCTCTCTTGGCGCTTCTCGAAGACAGTTTGCAACATTCATACGGTTGATGATAGAACGCTGCATTACCCATAATAAGGAATATACCATAATTTCCATAGTTTAGGATCCTTAGGGTAATGCAGGATTTGTATCATCAACAGTAGTACCCCTTGAAGAAACCGTCCTAGAACCCTTGCAGCAACTCCAAACCCCAAACACCGAAACCCTGAACTCTTATATAGTATCCTTGCAGGAACCCTCAAAGAACCCCTTACAGGACCCCTTAAAGGACCCTAAATCCCAAACCCTAAACCTGTAAGCAGCCTCGAAGAACCCCAACAGAATCTTTTTCAAACCAGTAACGGAGCTCTTCTAGAACCCTCAAGCCGTAAACCCTCAACTCTGCAACGCTCACAGCCGAAACCCGTAAACCCTTAACCCCCCCAAGCCCTTAAGCCGTAAACTCTTAACCCTAAACCCCAAGCCCTTCAACCGTAAACCCTTAACCCTAAGCCCTAAGCCCTTAAACCCTAAACCCTTAACCCTAAGCCCTCAAACCGTAAACCCTTAAACCCTTAAGCCCGAAACCCTAAACCCTAAACCCTAAACCCTAAATCCCTACATCCCTAAACCCTAAACCCTAAACCCTCAACCCTAAACCTTGGCCAAGCGGCCAAGGTCTTTCCGTCACGCCCTGCCCTGCCGAGCCTCGGAAGGAACGGCTCCTTTTTTGCCGCTTTTAGGGTTTAGGGTTTAGGGTTTAGGGTTTAGGGTCTAGGGTTTAGGGTTTAGGGTTTAGGGAAGGCTTCATATGCTTAAGATAAAAAGTTGCTTATGTTTCAATATGGTTTCTGGGCCTTCAGGGGCTTGAGGGTTTAGGTTAAAGGCTTAGGGTGCTGAGCTCTCCAGGAAGACCGGAACCCAGAGAGCCCAATACCC